ATGCCGGCTGACCGCTGCCTCGCGGCGGCCCAGCTCTGCTGAGCCCAGCCCGCTGCCAAGCTGGTGACATCGGGACCCCGCCTGCCCGCTGTCCCTGGGGCTGGGGGTCCCGGACGTACCTGGGCAGGTTGAGGGGTCTGTCTGCCAGGGCACTGGGTGCCAGTGCAGGTGAGGGACTTCTGCACTGGTCTTTATTGGAAAAGCAGCTGGAGCAGCATGGGCACAGTGGTGGTGACATGCTGTGCCACAGGGATACACCCGTATGGGGATGTGCCGTGCCTGGTGCCGTGCCGTACATGGTGCCAGGAACCGGGACGTGCTGTGCCAGGTGCCACTCGCCCCATTGTCACTGTATGGCAGGATCCTGTGGCACGGTAGGTCCTGCCATGTCCTGTCCTGGACCAAAGCCAGGTCAGGGGTGCACTGTGTGCTGTGCCCAGGATGGAATCCTGGCAGGGCAAGTGTCACTGCGTGTGGAGCATCCCCGGCACCGCTGGGGCGTGGCTGTGCTGTGTGTGCCCATGTCCCCAGAACCCCCTGCCACTCAGTCCCCTGTCCCCAGTGAGCTTTGTGGACTGTGGTGAGCCGCGCCGTGCCGCCTTCCTCCCGGACGACACGCGCTTCAAGGTGAGCAGGGATGGCATCGTCTCTGCCACCCGGCCCGTGCAGCTCCAGCAGCGGGAGATCGCCTTTGCCGTGCACACCTGGGACGCCACGGGCAAGAAGCATTCGGCCAAGGTGACCCTGCGCCAGCGGTGGCGCCAGCACCCACACGAGAGGATGCAGCAGGTAAAGCACAGACCCATTCCCTGGGGTCACAGCAGCCCCTGCCCCTGGTGCAGAGGGCTCAGCAAGGTGCTGGCACTGAGTGGTGCCATTGTCCCAACAGGACACGGTACCCGACGTGCTGACCTTCCCGGAGCATGGACACGGCCTCCGGCGGCAGAAGAGGGACTGGGTCATTCCTCCCATCAACTGCCCTGAGAATGAGCGGGGACCCTTCCCCAAGAAGCTGGTGCAGGTACGTGTCCCCACAGGGACCAGGCAGGGTCCAAGGGGGTCCCCTGGGACATGTCTCATCTTCTTCCTGCCTCGCTGCCAGATCAAATCCAACAAGGACAAGGAGACCAAGGTTTTCTACAGCATCACGGGGCAGGGAGCAGACACCATCCCCGTGGGTGTCTTCATCATCGAGCGGGAGACGGGGTGGCTGGAGGTGACAAAACCCCTGGACCGGGAGGACAAGGATAAATATGTGGTGAGTGAGGGGAGCCTGTGGCAGGATGGGGACGGTCCTGGGGACGGCACACACGCTGACTGTGCCCTTGCAGCTCTACTCCCATGCTGTGTCAGCCAACGGGCAGTCCGTGGAAGACCCCATGGAGATCATCATCACCGTCACTGACCAGAACGACAACCGGCCCGTCTTCACCCAGCAAGTCTTTGTTGGCTACATTGAGGAGAACGCAAAGCCGGGTACGTGGGGAACTCTGAGCTGGGACCACACAGAGCCCTGAGCGGGAGCAGTGCCAGCGTGTCCGGTGGATTCTGTCCCATCATTAAAATCTCCCTGACTTGTCCCCATGTCCAGGCACATCTGTGATGACCGTGAACGCTACAGATGCAGATGATGCGATCAACGTGAACAACGGCATCATTGGCTACTCCATCCTCAGCGAGGAGCCCAAGAGTGCAGAGGACATGTTCACCATCAATGCCGAGAAGGGCATCATCAGTGTCATTGGCACAGGACTGGACCGGGAGGTGGGCACCTTGCCACAGCTCAGGGGAGCCTGCAGCTACTCTGCAGCGGGATGTGCTATGGGGAGAAAGGGATACAGGAGCCCTGGTGTCTATCTGGTTTTGGGACATGCAATCCCTGGGCCACTGTCCCTGGCTGTAGGGGTGTCTGCAGCCTCAAGCTGTGCTGGAGACACTCCAGGGACCTCCAGCCTTGCTGAACCCTGGAGTGGGTGCAGTGCCAGCCCCTCAGGTGGGCAGCTGGGACATTGGCTGCCTCTGTGCCAGCAGGGAACAGCGAGTCTGGAGAAGGGTGGAGGAGCAGGCAGGTGATGGCTGGAGGAGGGGAAGACCACAGTCCCCACCCCAGCCCTAACTAGGTGATTTTTCCCTGCAGACCACTCCCAACTACACACTGATCATCCAGGCTGCAGACCAGGAGGGCAGAGGCCTGACCAACACTGCCACTGCCATCATCAAAGTCACTGATGCCAACGACAACCCTCCCATCTTCAACCCCAGCATGGTACCAACTGGCCCCGGCCGCTGTCCTCCCCGACCATCGTGGCACAAGCCCCCACCTGGGGTGCCTGGGGCCACACAGGTGATTGTCCCTGTCTCATTTTGCAGTATGAGGTGGCAGTGGATGAGAACGAGGTGGGGGTGACAGTGGCCCGGCTGCATGTGACAGACCAGGACCTGCCAGGATCCCCAGCCTGGCATGCTGTCTACCGCATCCAGAGTGGGGACCCGCAGGGCGACTTCGAGATCAGCACTGACCCCAAAACTAACGATGGGATTCTGAAAACTGCCAAGGTGGGTCCTGCTGCTGCATGGCTGCCTCAGCACCAGCTGACTCCCTGCTGGCACTACCCGGCTTCTCTCCCACCCCCAGGGCCTGGATTATGAGACCCAGAACCAGTACAAGCTCGTGGTGTCAGTGGAGAACGAGGTCCCCTTCACTGTGACCCTGAACCCTGCCACAGCCACTGTCCTGGTGGTGGTCAGGGACAAGAATGAAGCCCCCATGTTCATACCCCCAGTCAAGGAGGTAATGGTGAGGGAGGATGTGCCAGTGGGATACCAGATCGCCTCCTACACAGCCCAGGATCCTGACAAGGACCAGAACCAGAAAATCACGTGAGTGGAGGGTGGTGGGGGCTTTGCTGGGGTGTCTGAGGGGCTGCACTGTCCCGTGTGCCCCTTTCTCTCCCGCTGCTGACCCCTGGCTGCCCCCAGGTATCGCATGGGCAGCGACCCCGCGGGGTGGTTGGCCATTAACCCTGAGAACGGCATCATCACGGCAATCCAGACACTGGACCGGGAATCAGCGTATGCCATCAACAGCACCTACAAGGCCATCGTCCTGGCTGTAGACAATGGTGAGGATGGCCAACTGCTGTCCCCGTGCCCAGCTCCGTGTGCCCCCATGGTGTCCAGGCCCCTCCCTGGGTGCCTTGCTGACTCTCAGTCCCACAGGGTCACCACAAGCTGCCACCGGCATGGGGACACTGCTCCTCCTGCTTCAAGATGTGAACGACAACTGGCCCGTGCCAGAGCCCCGGAGCTTCGACATCTGCAACCGGCAGCCCGAGGAGCAGACGCTGAAGATCATCGACAAGGACCTGCCCCCCAACACCTACCCCTTCCAGGCAGAGCTGATGCACGGCTCCGGCAGCAACTGGACTGCCAGGGTGGTGCAACAAGGTGGGTGCCACCTGCTCTGGAGCTGGCTCTGCCGTGAGCACTAGGCTGGGCACCTGCCACAGGACAAAGTCCTGTGCCAGCACCAAGGGTATTCCCAAAGCAGAGCTGGGAAAGGGGCTGGAGCACCAGGAGTGGCTGAGGGAGCTGGGGAGGCTCAGGAGGGACCTTCTTGCTCTCCACAACTCCCTGGCAGGAGGGTGCAGCCAGGTGAGGGTCAGGATCTGCTCCTAAGGGACAGGACAAGGGGAAACAACCTTGAGTTGTGCCAGGAGAGATTTGGGTTGGATATTGGGGAAAATTAATTCATGGAAAGGGGTGGTCAGGCATTGGAACAGGCTGCCCAGGGCAGTGGTGGAATCCCCATCCATGGAAGGATTTAAGAGCTGTGTGAATGTGGCACTTCAGGAAATGGGTCAGTGGTGGCCTTGGCAGTGCTGGGGGATGGCTGGACTCAGTAATCTTGGAGATGTTTTCCAACCCGAATGATTCTGTGGTTCACCAAGACCTGGTGAAGCTGACCATGAAGAAAGAGCTGGAGCCGGGTGAGTACAGCATCTTCCTGAAGCTGCTGGATGCGCAGAACAAGGAGCAGGTGACACAGGTGCGAGCCCAGGTCTGCAGCTGCGAGGGGCCAGCCAAGAACTGCGAGAAGCGAGCGTTCATCTCCGGTGGCATGGGCGTGCCTGCCATCCTGGGCATCCTGGGGGGCATCCTGGCGCTACTCAGTGAGTACCCGGGGATGAGGATGATAGGGACAGAGAGAGAGTCACCCTCTCCCTGCTGCCCTGACACCCCATCCCTGTGCCTGCAGTCCTGTTGCTGCTGCTGCTGCTCTTCGCAAGGAGGAGGAAGGTGGTGAAGGAACCGCTGCTCCCACCCGAGGATGACATGAGGGACAATGTGTACCACTATGACGAGGAGGGTGGTGGTGAGGAGGACCAGGTGGGATGCCTGTGCCTGCTGGACCCTGCCCACCCGGTGCTGGTGGCGGTGCCTGCAGTTGTCCCTCGAGCCTTGACTCCTGCTGTCCCCCCAGGACTATGACCTGAGCCAGCTGCACCGGGGGCTGGACGCCCGGCCCGAGGTGATCCGCAATGATGTGGCCCCCACCCTCCTGCCAGCCCCCCAGTACCGGCCTCGCCCCGCCAACCCCGATGAGATCGGGAACTTCATTGACGAGGTGAGTCCTGGCCCAGGGGGTGGCACATCCCTGCCACACCAGCGCAGGGACACAGGTACTGACCCCTCTGCTCCCCCAGAACCTGAAGGCGGCCGACACGGACCCCACGGCCCCCCCCTACGACTCGCTGCTGGTGTTTGACTACGAGGGCAGCGGCTCGGAAGCCACCTCGCTCAGCTCCCTCAACTCCTCCGCCTCCGACGGGGACCAGGACTACGACTACCTCAACGACTGGGGCGGCCGCTTCCGCAAGCTGGCCGAGCTGTATGGCGGCGGCGAGGAGGACGATTAGGGACCCCCAGCCTGCCGCTGCCACCTCATTTCACCCCTCTGGACTCACGTCGGTCTCTGTCCAGGGTGGCCAAACCCCCTCCAACACCTCCTGAACCCCGTGCCCAAGTCTCCCTCACTGAGAAAACCTCAGGCTCGCTGGGGGATGGAGGGGTTTTGGGGTAGTCTGGGTGTTTCCTGGCCCCCTTGGCTCCAGGGCATGGAACAGTTTAATCCATTCCCCATCCTGGAATTGAGGTGCTCCCAGCTGTGGGGGGCAGGATCAGGTCCTTCTTCCCTATTCCATGCGGGGAAAAAGGGTTTCTCTGGCGCTCTCCAAAATACCTCGTGCTCCCAGCCCCACACAGGCTCAGATCGTGAACCTGCTGATGGAGAAGTGCGACCAGGCACTCGATCAACACAGACCAAAGATGCACCATCACAGGTGGTGATTCCCGCATCGCAGGGAATTGTATTTACTACAGTATGTACAGGCAGATTTCTATTTTTCCGTATCCCAGATTATGGTTTGATTTCTTCCCGTGTCGTGTAATTAGCGTCTTCCCAGGTGTAATTAGCGTGCAGTCATTGAAAGGTACTTTCCAAAATCAAAGGGCTTTCCCAAAATCCTGACCTCTGTGTTTAGCTGTCATCACAGTTTGTATTTTTTATCATGGGAAAAGGGTCTGACGCAAGCTGTGAAACCAGCGGCGGCCAAGTGTTGATTGCATGTTTTTTATATAAAATTGAAAAATAAATTGTTTTAAGAAAACCAAACCACTTTTCTGTGCGTGAGGCTCTGCCGGTGCTGGAAGGCTTTACCTGCTGCACAGGTGTGGCCGTGGCCCCCTCCACAGGGCAAATGGGCCATCAGAATCGTGGAAGGGTTTGAGCTGGAAGAGACCTTAAGGATGTTAAATTGCACCACTCTGCAAGGGCAAGGACGCCTTCCACTGTCCCAGGTTGCTCCAAGCCCCGGCCACCCCAGCCTTGGGCACTTCCAGGCCTGGGACAGCCACAGCTGCTCTGGACAAGTGGCAGGGCCTCATCGCTCTCAAGTGAGAAGGATTCTTTCCTAACAGCGCGTCTAACGCTGCCCTGAGGCGGCGGGAGCCATTTTCCCGGCCCAGCCCGTGTCCCCAGGCCCGCCCCGGCTCCCCGGCCGCTCTCTCCTCCCTCTCCCGACCTCCCCAAGATGGCGGCCAGCAGCGCGGCCCCTCCCC